TATATAGCCCTTGTCTCTCAGATGCCTGTAGTTTCTTTTTCTCAATTCTTCTGTCATGTGCCTAGAATAACTCGATGTATACTTTTACAGGACCACCGCCGAGATATTTTTGCATGAAATAAAACAAGCAAACCTTGATGAAGACACAATGTGGTCTGTGCTTGAGCACAATCCTGTCAACAACGCGTAAGTTGATTGACACTTTTTCCATACTAAATTACATGACTCCAAAAAGACCGGTGAAGTCATCCATCGCCGAAGCAAAGAGAAGTGTTTTTGCCGATTTCACTAGTTATTTATATTTCGCCCTTAATCACTGTAGACTGGTGGCTAAAGTACTTCTTGTAAAGCGCAACCGCTTTAATGAACTGCATTTTTTAGGTACACTGTCACGAGAACCGTCATGTCCGCTTACACACCTGCCATGTTATACAGAAATACAATCATAAATGACTGAGAAAAGCGACATGCTGATCCAGTCATCGATTGCTACAATTTTCAAGCCTTCATTTTCCCGCCTTGAAGTGCAAAACCAGGAAGTTCTTTCAAATCAACCCACTGTTATTACTGCTTGTACATTTCTTGGGCGTTTGTGGATACTGAACGATTAATTAGGACTTTAATCCAAAGTAATGAAATTTAAAATCGTACGGCAGTCGAGCAGGACTTAAGTTATGGTGCACTAATACCAAACAGAGTTCGAAATTTCACTCCCACCAAGTTGGCTGGTTGACCTCCATTTTCAATTTTACAAATTACATAATTACTAAGTATATCACTGCTGTCGTGCGACTTCATTAAGTAAATATCCTCTAATAAATCTTTATAGTGAGACTTAAGAAATAACTGTATTTAGGTAACTCAGTAACAGCGACACAAATAAATGAATAGAAATAATGGTAATGTGATAAATAACCTGGGCGTCCTTTTCCTTTTTAAGAAACATCACTCACAGTGAATCAGGACCCCCACTTATACCTGCGATGAGGAGCCAGAGTATAAAACACATGAGGAGCAAGCAAGCAAATTAAGTCAAACGAATGCAAATGCACCCACATAAAAAATAACAAAAACGATAATAATAATTTAAGAAGACTTCAAATAGCAAACATTGCACATACAGTTTTAAGTAATTACCCACGTTATTACCTACAAACTACGAAAAAGAAAAAAAGCAAAAAATGAGCAGGACCGGTACGGATATGTATCCTTTATCAAAGACTTTAGCAAGGCAAACTAGGAATCATCAGTAGTCCAGTAAATTATAAATAGTAAAAAAATCAAGACTCCAAGAAGTCAGCTTTCGGTAAAATCAGTAATTTGAAAAAGAAAATAACTTTAAAAACAAAGCTGTTAGCAGAAACCAAGAAACCGTTTCTGAACAATCAGTTAAAAAAAATTTTCTCCCTATATATATACAAATATTGGAGTGGTACCTCTAAGAATTAAGTCCTGGACCCAAATGTAACTTCAAATTTTCTTTACTAAACAAAGGTAACCGGCTTTTAGAAGGCACTACAGCGCTGAACTCACGAAGAGTATCAACATCATGCTCCGTTCCAAACAAAGCAGTATTGCAAGGACATACTCTCTCTGTTTGGTTTTCTGGTTCGCATTGCAAATGCATTAAATGACCACAACTAAATGAAAGGTACTTAAATACAGAAAAGCGCCTAACGAGTTGGAATAATATGCATCATTAAAGGTTAGAAAAC